AGACTGCAGTCAAGAGAGTGAGAGAAAAGGAAGTGGAGATACTAATTGTACATGGCCTTCTCAAGGAGTGTCCACAAAAGGGAAGTAATAGGATGATCCGGGGCCACAATCAAGTGAGTTTTTTGAGGTTGGGGGAGACATGGGTGTGTTAGGAGGCAATAGAGAAGGAGTCAGTAGACTGTAGACAGTAGTCAGTATCAGTGAGAGAGTGGGATCATGGAAGGGGTGATACTGTACTGAAGGTGAGATGGAATAAGGTCACTTGTGCCTATAGAAGGGTTGGCTTTGGCAGGGAGAATGGCCATGTCTTCATATGAGACAAGTGTGGGGAAGGCATCTGAGTGATGTGAAATGAGGTGGAGGGGAGAAGAGGAAGCTCTTGGTAAATGACTTTTTTTTTTTAATTACTAGTGAAATGTGAGGTGAGCTTGGAGGGATGAGAAAATTTGGGAAAACTGACTCTAGTGAGTTAGATAGTGAATTGATTTGGGAGATAGAAAAGGATTGCCTTGTAGCACTGAGGACCCAAATAAGATTATGCAGTATCAATTTGTAGTGGACTCAGCATGGTTTTGTGGCAGTGGATAGTGGGAGTAATCCAGGGCTGAGGCTTGAGGACAAGATCAGTGACAGGATAATAGGCAAGGGACTGGAGGAAGAGTGTAGAGTTGACCTGGTTTACTAAGGGGTCAAGGTGTCGAAGGGAAGAGTGTAGCTAATGCAGGAGTGATGGCCTGGGAAAGAACTAAGGGATAGAAGGATTGGAGGTAATATAGTGAGGATGAAGAACAGAGTTGTAGCTTACAAGGCAGGGGTAGAGGTGGAATGTTGTCACGGATTATGATTAGAAAAATCTATGTGCCTTGGCTCCGAGTGGACTGTGGTTCTGCCTCATTTTATAGGTGAGGAAACAGGGAGAGAAAGGGAAGGGATTGAACTAACGTCATGGGAGAGGGAAAGGATTAACTCATGTCATGTAGTGTCCTACAGAGGGATGGGCTCAATTTGTATATTCTTTTTCATGGTTTGATGGCCAGAGTTCTTAGAATCAAAGAATTACAGAGCTATAAGGAACCTTAGAGTTCATCTCCTCCAACTTTCACCTGAATAGGAATCCCCAACAAATGATCTAGGTTCTATTTGAATTTCTCCAGTGACAGAGAACTCACAACCTCATGAACTCATTCTGCATTTATTATGAAACAAATTACTCTATTTTTGGACAGCCCTTATTGTTAGGAAATTTTTCCTTATATGAAGCCAGTCTCCCTTTGCAATTTCTACCCACCAGTCCTAGTTATGCATTCTGTATCTAAGCAGAACCTTGCTTCCTCTTTCCTATTGCTAATTTCCTAATCCTTCAGTATAGATAAGGAGATAAAGCATTTATTAACCACTCTAGGCCAGAATGTGTTGTGAGCTGGGGATACAAGTACATGCAATGAAGACAGTCCCTAACCTTAAGGAGCTTACAATCTAATGGGGAAGAACAACAGGGAAGGGAAATGGCATTAAGAATGTGGCAATATGTCAGGAGGGGCCAAGGGGGTCCATAGGGGAGTGGGTGTTGGCCAGGAGTGCAGGTGGGGGTAGGGGGTGTGTGTGGAGAGAAACCATGACAGCTGTCTTCAAATATCTGAAGGGCTGTTATGTAGAAGAGGGATTAGACATCTTGTGTTTGTCTCCAGAGGGCAGATCTAGGAGCAGTGGGAGGAGCTGCTTGAGGAAAATTTCTTAACTTCCTCACAGCATTGGCCCAATGGGCAGCCTGAGGAAAGAGTCACTGGAGTCCTTGAAGTAGAAGCTTGGTGATCACTCATCCGGGCTGTTGTAGAGGGATCTGTTCGCCTTCCAGCTTGGAGATCGAGAGAGGTCTAGCTCAGATTGGGGGTATCACAGCCAAGTGGAATTTGGGGGTAAGGAGAAATTGAGGCATTTTGCGTGCCTCATGTCCAATCTGTTGCTGACCCTCTTTTCCATTTAGGATCGGGAGGAACGGAAGCTACTTCTGGACCCCAGCAGTCCCCCAACCAAGACCCTAAATGGAGCAGAACCCAACTACCACAGCCTGCCTGCAGCCCGTACAGATGAGCAGGCCTTGCTGTCTTCTATCCTTGCCAAGACAGCCAGGTCAGAGTGGAAGGAGCTGTGTCTGCTCCAGCCCCCTTTACCTGTAGGATAAGGAATATCATCCTCACTCTGTGCTCAACTCAATGGAACCCTTCTCTGACCCCCACATTTTGCATCTCACAGAATAACTTGTTTTCTCCTCCTCCTAGTGCGCGCGCACACACACACACACACACACACACTCACACACAGAGAGTAGCATACCTATTCTATACCTATACCCTTTACTGGTCTGTGTACTGATTGAGGGCAAGTCTTTTTCAAACATCTTCTGAGCTGAGTACTTAGTTAAGGGTCCTTTAGGCTTCAGTTCTGCCCTGGTGGAGGCTCTAGAGCAGGGCTTCTTAACCATTTTTGGTGTCATGGAACACACTGGCAATGTGGTAAAGCCTATAGATACCTCAGAATAATTTTTAAAAATATATTCATAATTAAAGGAAATGTCAAATTTCAGTTAGAGGTTAGTGAATGATGGTTATTTTTTTTTTTCACATCCAAGTTCTCAGACCCACTGAAATCTATCCCTGGACCCCAGGTTGAGAACCCTTGTTCCAGAACCTAAGGAATCCCCTGGGGGAGGTGTGGGAGAGGAAGTTAGATCCCTGTCCCTTGTTCCAGAACCTAAGGAATCCCCTGGGGGAGGTGTGGGAGAGGAAGTTAGATCCCTGTCCCTATCTCCCACCCAGGCTAGAGGAATCTCGTCAGTGTGATGGAGGTCTTTCCAGTTCTTTGCCACCTTGCTTTGACTGATGCAGGAATAAATTATGGTGAATTGTTGGATTCCATGTAAAGACTCCAGGATCTTCTCATCCATTTTTAGTCAGTCTTTCTGAAGTCTCAGTTATGTTTTTCCCCAGCAACATCATTGATGTATCGGCAGCAGATTCCCAGGGCATGGAGCAACATGAGTACATGGACCGAGCAAGACAATACAGGTGAGGGGAATAGGGAGAAGGTAATGGCAGCTTCCTTTCTAGTCTCTCTGTCCTCTCTGCCCCAGGCTCTGAAACCTCTGACTCATTAGCTTTGTAGTCTTCAGATAATTGAGTGAGTCAGTTAATCTGAGCCCTTACTTGTAAAATTAGGGGGTTAGACTAGATATCTGCCAAGTTCCTTCTAAGTCTTTGAAAATGAATTACCTGTTTGTTCCTCCCACCACCCTGGGAATGGAAACAGGTCAAAAGAAAGTTAAGGTTTTCGTAAGGTCATCGAGTGAGAATGGAAGGAACACTGACTGGTCTGCTAAACTCCAGGGCAGGAGCTAGATTTACCCCATTTCCCGATTGTGGAAGAATGTGATGAGGAATACAGAGGACCTATACCTTCTCTCGTTCTCCTCCCCTATAGTACCCGCCTGGCTGTCCTGAGCAGTAGCTTGACTCACTGGAAGAAGCTGCCACCACTGCCATCACTCACCAGCCAGCCCCACCAAGTGCTTGCCAGTGACCCTGTCCCCTTTGCAGATTTACAGCAGGTGAGGCCATGTCTTTCGCTTTTTTCTTCCCTGACCTAGGCCAGCCCAATTCTTGCCTTGCCATTAATTCCACCCAAGGTGATTACCCTTTTCCCTTTCTGCTTATCCAGGCTGTTCCAATTTCCTGGGCACATGGTTAACAGTTTTAGGTGTTATTAGAGTAGGGTTTGTTTCCTTCTGGGAGTTCTCTTTCTTGGCAGCCCTTGGGAGGTGGGTGGAGAGAAGAGAAGGGGATAGTACCAGCCATGAGGGGAAGACAAATGGCTGAAAGAGGGATATCATGAGCCCCCTCCCCTCTTTGTATTTTATTTTATTATTTCTTTTTTGGAAACACCCCTGTCCCAGTGTTTTTCTCATGTGTTTTACATTCTTTTATTCACTACTCTACCGGACAGTATTTGTCTGTATTTTTGTAACTGCCTTTTTCTTGTAACTTTAGGTCTCCAGAATAGCTGCTTATGCCTATAGTGCACTTTCTCAGATCCGGGTCGACGCAAAAGAGGAGTTGGTCGTGCAGTTTGGGGTCCCGTGAGGACAATTTCTGGAGATCTCTCCCTTGTTCCCGCCTTCCTTTCCCCTTATTTCTTCCTGCTTGTACAGAAACCTAACTTGCTACTAATCACAGAGGAGAAACTACCACAGGAGTCCAGAGGTGTTTGGGAGCCTCACGTTGACACACAATGAGTTCCCAAGAAGCCTTTGTGCCATGTGGCCCTGGCTGAATACTTTGTGGGGAAGATCTATGATGGTTTTGCCACTTGGGGGGTGGGGGGGAGGCAGAGCTAGAGGAGTGGGAAGATAGGAACTTGGATTTGAATTATTATTTCATGATTGGGGGTGGTGGGTAGGAAGAGATTTGGCTTCCTTGAGATCACCCTTCTGTGTTGGGGCTTGAACTGATATTAAGGGACTAAGAACTAAACTGGTTGTTTCTATTTCTCACACCCAGTTTTTACATGTTTGATCCTTTAATTTTATTTGTTTTGGTTTGCCACCCTCCATAAAGGACATCTATCCATCCTGGCTCCAGCCCTTTTGTCCTTGTCCTTACCCTGCCAACCTCCCACTTCTTGTACAGCTTTAAGTTAACTAGATACCTTTGCAGGGATAACAGCAGGAGGGGCTCAAAGGGGCAGAATGATCTCCAACTGAGCTCTTAACATTCTTTGGCCTTTGAAAAGGGTTACCATCAGAAAGATTGCAGGTAAAGTACGAGGAGGGTTTCTAGGTATCTGTTGATCAAGTTTTAGGCTTCTGGATAGCAAGGTGGGATACAGGCCAGATTCTGCCTCCTTAAGTATGCTTGGGGCTGGGTGGTGGTGTGCTATCTGAGCTGCTCTCTACTCTGCCCACCTTTTGAAAGGCACCTCAACGCGAAGCTGAGGGACTCAAGCCCTCTAGAACAGGTCATTTCCTTTATTGCTAAACTAAGTGTTGAGGGAGAGGGTACCAGAGTCTTAGGGGCTTTGGGGCTTTAAGCATGGAGAGGGAGTTATAAAAAATTATCCCGTTTCAATCGGACCTTCTTGGGCTTGACATTCATTTGTCTCCAGATAGTGGCTGTGATCCGGTCTTGCTTGGTGACACCACTGAAGTCAAAGGTAGTAATTCGGGGTAGGATGGACAGCACATATTGCCTGCAGGGAGGATATAGGATTGCAGGCTCTCCAGGGTGGGTTGAAAGTGGAAAGAGTCATAATGGGGGGGTTGGATGTGAATCCAAGGCCACTTAACTATGTGCCCCAAAGAGTTAGTAATATTTTCCTCCCTACATTAGCTCCTTCAGTAGTAAGAGCAAAGTGACCCTGGATACAATCAGGGTAGAAGTAGGTTGTAAGTACTGCCATTCTTCTCCAAAAATACCTAAGGGAATTAGCATCTGCAGTCACTGTGCGGGTGGGTGGGGGGAGCTAAATCATTACAATAACTTCCCATATGTTCCACTCATTGAGTCTTTTGCCATTCTCTGATGTGATGACTTACGAATCCTTCCCACCTACTCCCAGTTGGCTCACTCTCCATTCTAGGCCTTAAAAGAATTTCTCATGGGCTTCTTCTTCCATTCCATTCCACTCCCTTCCCTGAAGGAAAGTGACCTTTTGATTTGGCCAAGGATAACCTCCTTTGGAGAACCTGGTAAAGTTCCTTTTCTCTCCTAAGTTTACAACTTGTGCTGTCCCCTCATTCTGTACTTAAGGAGGTGAGACTCCTGAGCCTTCTGTTTCCTTTCCTCGGGGGGGGGGGGGGGTCAAGGTAGGGGCATTACCTGTACCCCTTCTCCTCCTCAATAGGGTTCCCATGGAGGGTCAAGCTCCGAAGCTTGGGAAGACTTGACAGCTTATCCACTTCTGGCAGGTGATGGATGCAGTTGCCATGGAGATAAAGGACACTTAAGTTGGAGAAGGTAGTCAGCACCTGGTGGGTGAGGAAGGGACACAGTACCAGGTTGAGTAGGATCCAGTGGCTGGTTTATGGAGGTGACAGGAGAATTGGGGAATCTAGGCTTGAAAAGAGGGGGTGCTCTTTTCCTTAGAATCCACTCTCTGAGTGACCTGACCCCTTCTATCCTAGAGACTTCTGGAGACTAGGAGGCAGTATGGTCTGGTGAAAAAAGAGATGAGAAGCAGGAGATTTCTGCTATCTACTCCATATATTTCTTATTACTTGAGAGTTCGTTCTTTTCCTTATGACAGCCTTATGAGAGGAATTAGTGCAAGGAATATTATCCCCATTTATAAATGAGGAAATGGGCTCATATCAAGGGTGGTCATGTTCTCATGAGGCAGAGGGCATGGTCTCCTGACATGATATTCCATGTTTTTCCCACTCTATTTTACTGCCTCATCTAGCTCTTAGGTCTGAGCAAGTCTCTTAACCTCTGTTTCCTTATTACAAAATAATAAGTAGTCATATCCCTAGTGATTTGATGTTTACAAAACACTTTCTTCACAAGGGCTCTGTAAGGTAGGTGGTACAACAGTATCTTCCCAATTTTGGAGATGAGGATTTAATTTCACAAACATTAAGTGTACATAAGGTATTGGAAACATAAGACTTGGAAAGGTCAAGTAACTTGCCCCAGTCATACATGTAGGAAGGGGCACATCTGGGAATCAGATTCAGGCCTCATTAAGATCTCTCCAAGTCCCCAAAATTCTAATTCTTTTACTCTTCCTCTTACATACCCAGAGGAGGAAAGTGAGGCACAGGATAAGTTCTGAAGGGCTGTCTTACACTACTTTTTATTTCTCTTTTCCCAATGCGCAGTGGTTAACATACTAAGTGTTTATATTCTTCTTCAGTAGTGTTAGGTACCCATTTCTAAGCTGCTTATAATGACCCAAACACAGAAACTCTGGGGGAAAAGAACAAAATGCTTACCACGGGAAGGTAAGGAGCTGGTTCTTACTACTTCTCTATACCACTGTCTTCCCCACATTGCTAGACATACAGGAAGTGTTCTATAAATACCTTATGCCTTGTATAGCATTGATGTTTCCTCTTGGGATCTCCCCCCCCCACCCTTTTTGCCTGTAGCCCGTGTCTTGCTTGGCATTCTCTTCCCTCCCTTGGGGACTTAGGCACCTACGGGGTCGATGTTGGCCAGGTCATTGAAGGACAGGTCAATCCAAGCCAGGTTCTGGGGATGCTCCAACAGCTGCGACAGAGTTTGAGTGAAGTCGTTCAGGTCATTGAGCACGTTGTTGTTAATGCGCAAGGCCTGGGTCAGTGACTTACCCTCCTTAGAACGCTTTACTGGTCGGAGCCCAATCCTAGGCTCCTCACTTGTCAGGTCTGCAGGGACAGATCACAGAGAGTGAAGTTAGCCAGGAGCACCCAGGCAAGGGTCCTCTCTTCTTCCCATCTCAGTCAGAGGCCAACCAGGACTGTGAAAAACCCAGAACTGCTCTTCAGGGTCACAGTCATAGCTGCCATATACTCCTCCCTCCAAAGCTATGTTGTCACGGGCTGCATTGTCATGGATGAGTCCAGCAACCAGAGTGAGGTAAGCTGTTCTCTGCCCTGGTCTGGGTTCACCTGGAATTTAATTCTGAAAGCCAAGTTTTAGGAAGAACATGGACAACTAAAGAAATAGAAATAGGGGCCAATTAAAAGTAGTGGGGAAATTTATCCTGGGGAAGACTGAGTTGGGGCACAGGTAATCCTCTTCTGTAGAAAAAGAGGAAATGTGTGAGCCCAGAATTGGACCCACTGTAGGGAGAGTAGTGGAAAGGGCACTAGATTTGGAATTGGACCCATATGAATCCCAGTCCTGCCAGAGCTAGCTCTCTGACTACTTTACTTCCTTTGGGCCTCAGTTTTTTCATCTCTAAAATGAGAGTTTGGACTAGATTACTTAAAAATTCTTTGATTTAAAAAAAAAAACCAAAAAACCATGATGCCAAATTATAGGAAGCCAATTTCATCTAAACTCATAAAACAAGTGGATTAGATTCATTAGACTCATAAAACACCCTAACTAATCCAACACTCTTGTCAGCGTATGTCTCTTCCACTTTTGAATGCTATGAATTTACAGCCTGTTACAGTAACTCATTTTCAGGTAATGATTTATTTGAGAGATTATCTCATCCAACTTTTTTTTTTTCCAGACAGGAGAAAAACTTAGACCCAGAAAGGGAAAGGGACTTATTCAAAGTCACAGAAATCAGTGGAAGAGCCAGGAACCAGAGCCTAGGTTTCTTAAATGCTGTTTTTTCTTCTGTTTTCCAAGCACAAATCTGACAGTACCACCAAAAAACCTTCTTAGTTTGTTCCTTCCCTCCATGCTCCCACACAGAGTTATTTTCTTCTCCTGAGGTCCAGTACTCTTTAGGGGGCTCTGTGGTGGACAGTCATTACACAGTGGAGATTCTGGGGAGGGAGGTGGGGCAGACAAGGTTCGTATGGCGGAATGAGGGAAAGGCTAGTGAAGGCAAGGGCTGATCTCCCTCCTTGAAGAAGAAATGCTGAAGATAAAAGAGACAATTGGCTTCAGTGTGGAAACTACTGACTGAAATTTTCGAATGTCAGAAGGACGGCTCCCTTATTTTATAAAGCAGGAAGCCAAGGTACAGAAGGAAAAAGAAATTTGTCTAAAAAGCACAATGCCAGCCAGTGACAGAACATAGTGCTCAAAAGCCAGAAGGGGCGGGGGGGGGGGGGGGCACGGCAGAATGGGATGTTTTGCTTTTAGTCAGCTTTTCTCTGAGGGCAGATGCCTCAGCTAAGACCATCCATATCTAACTCTGTCACCTGGAATATTTCCTGAGGAGATGGGACAAAGTGTATGTTTTTATGTTTTCCTGCTCACAGAGAAGAAAGTGTCCCTTTGCTCAGCAACACCCTTATATGTGTCTGTCACAGTGCTCAGCATTTTAGTCAGAGTTTCTACCCTTAGGGGAGTCACAAGGCTTGAGATGGTTTGCCAGATGAGGAACACACTAATCCAAATCAAATGGCCTGGTTCTAGACTGTCCTGAAGCAAATTGGGGCATTTGTGGCCTCTCATCTGGCTTCGTGCCTTTTACCTGATCATAAGTTCATAAATTTGAAGCTAGAAGGGATGTCAGAGGTCACCTGGTTTAACTCATTTTATAGATGAAAAAACTGAGGCATCAGTAGCTTCAGTGACTGACAGGTAATAAGCAGCTGAGACTCCAGGGTTCTCTTACAGCTACTAGGCACTCTTACTACCTGTTCATCCTATTAACTGGTTCAGTCTCTAGCTTCACTAAGGGATGAATAGCCCAGTTTGCCCTTCCAATTTCTTTGCATATTCACCTCCCAGAAAAAGCAGAAGAGAATAGCATCTGCAAGCCTATCTGACTTTGCTTTGTTATGTACCTATGATGCTCTCTTTAAGATCAGGAGAGGTTGTTATGCATCCTGACTCCCTCCAGCCCAGCTCTCTGCCCTCTGAAGACCAGAGCTGGTGTGAAAACTAATTTGTTGTTTGAAGGGCATTGGGGTCAAATCCTGACTGCCACTCAGTAATAATTCTCATATTTATATAATGTGTTTAGGTTTGCAGGCAGTATTAATGGATAGAGCCAGCCTTGAAACCAGGGAGACCTGGGTTTAAAACCTGCCTCTGACACATACTTGCTTTGCAACCCTGGGCAAGTCATTTAATTTCTCAATGGTGGAGGAAACTCTTGAAAAAAGGTGAAGACCTGCAGTGGTAGAGTTTCTTCACATAGGAGTTCCCTATACCAATGAAAGCACAGGGCAAGTCCCTATCCCTTTAAGGTTTGCAATGTACTTTCCTCACAACTCTGGGAAGCAGATAGTACAGGTATTTATTCCCACTTTAAAGATATAGAAACAGAGGCAGGGAGGGTGACTTTGCCATGATTTTTTTTTTCCAGTCCAACACAACAAATATTTATTAAGCACCTGCTATGTGCACAAAATTGTGCTAGGTACTGTTGTGCTAGATCCTACCTGTTCTCTGAATCAAAAGCCAGGACTTAGGGCCACTGTTAAACTACTTTGTTTTTTTGTTTATTATTTTTTTTTTTAAATGCCATGATTTCAAAGATAGCAAGTGTCTATCTAGTTTTGTGACCTTGAGCAAGTCAAGTCCTCTGTTTGGGCTTCAGTTTCCATATATGAAAAGATAGCTGGCATTTACATAGAGTGCTTTAAGATTGGTAAAGCACCTGCCAGACCTCTTGTTAGGCCCTCAACATCTCTGAAAAGCATTTGCTGCTAGATTCTCCTTTTTTACAAATGGGCTCAGAGAGGATAGATGCTGGCTGATTCACAGTGCTAGTGTCTGGGGTGAATTCAGGTATGTATTCAACAAGCGTTTAATTTGCCCGTCATATACCAGGTACTGTGCTATCCACTGAGGGAGTAAAAGGGAGAAATCTCCAAGTCCCGTTCTCTAGTTTTATTATTTTCATAAAAATTACATTAGTCGTGTGAAGGCTCCTTGTTCCTATCCAACTTGGCCTTTTAAAAGATGCCAGACCATAACTTTTTAAAACAGCAAAGGTCTGGAGAAGGAAAAAGAAATAGTTTCTCTAAAGATGGAGAATGTAGCCCAGGCTGAATGGGGTACTGGGGTTGGAGGGAAGAGAGAGAGAAAAGAGGCCGTGCACATCGGGCTCACCTTGGATGAAGTTTACATTTTTGAAGGAGAAGTCGAGGGGGGGCTCCTGTGCCAAATTCTTCACATGATCCCAGTTGTCAGTCATATTTCAGCCATTGTGGGGGTGTAGGAGAAGCATGGGGCCCTGGGCTGCTAGTTTTGGCCTAAGGAGACAGAGAGGGGCTGTATTTGGAGAGTATTTTTTGGCCTTGCACCATGCTTTCCCATCAATTTCAGTCTTACAACAACCCTGGCAAACAGGACAGGAAGATAGCCCTAATTTTGCAAAAGAAGAACGGGAGATGGAACAGTGAGAAGATGAGATTTGCTTAGCAAGCCAGTGGCATAGTTGGATGTCTTCCCCTACAGAAAGCAATATCCTGGGGTGTGCAGGGAAGCAGGGCAGGGGGGGAAAACATAAGTGAGTACAAAGCAATTTAAGAAGGGGGAGAAAGCGAGCGAACTCAGTGGTGACAGGGAAAGGTTCCCTAAAGAGACATGAACCTAGGTAAAGGAATCTAAGGATTCTAAGACGTGAAGGGAGAGTGTCTATACAGTGTTATCACATCACTTCCAGCATATCAGTGATAGAGGGAACTCTTCAAGGACACATTACCAATGCAACCCATAGTCCTAGCTCCCTACAGCACCAAAAGTTTAAGTTGAATTGCCCAGCTCACACAAACCAATACGTGTTGGAGCATGGACTTAAAAACCCAGGTTTTCCTGGCTTTGAGGCTACTATCCACTATGCCTTGCCGTGTCTCACTGCTTCCAGGATAAAATGCAAACTTTGATACGTAAAGTTCTAGTCTGGCTTCATCCTACTTTTACAGGCTTACTATACATTATTCCCCTGGGTTTGAGTCCTGCTTTTGACGTATATTGGTTGTATCATCCTGTATAAGCCTCATTATAAATTGAGGGGATTGGAGCAGATAGCTTCTTCAGTCACATCCAGCTCTATGATCTTTTGACCTCTGGCCTCTGTGGTTGTGCTCAAGTTGTCCTCCAAGCTTACCTCTACCTCTTGAAATGCCTGGCTTCCTTTAAAGGTCATCTCAAATGCCATTTCTTTCATGGGGCCTTTGTTAATTCCTTCAGCTGCTAGAGCCTCTCCCACCAAAAATGTCCATATTTCTTCTGATAGAATGGCAATAGTAGCTACTTAAATTCATTCAATTAATCAGTGATGTAGCAGAAGAACCAGAGAAGGAGCTATTAAATAAGAGAACTGGAAGAAAGCAATGTCATATAAACTAAAAGAAGATATCTAGTAGCAAGTGATAGTGTTGAAAGTTCCAGAAAGGTCAAGAGTATGATGATAGAAAAGGGCATTTGATTTAGCAGCTAAAGGATTGTGAGTTATCTGTGAGAAAACGGTTTTAGATCAACAGAGGAATTTTAGGACAGATGCTGGTGCCCTGAGAAGTAAGGAAGGAGAGGCAACAAGTATAGGATGGCTCTGAAAGGGACAAGTCCCTCTGTGTCTAGGGGCTGTAAGTTGATAGCTTTATGTAATACGTATGTGTGTGGGGGGGGGGGGCACGGTGTTGTATGAGGTGTTCAGGACCACTAGCACCTCTGGTGAAGGCTTATTGAGCCACTTTTCAGGGGCTGCCCATCCACTTTGGCATCCACTCGATTCACCCAACTCTCACCTGTGGCTCCAGGAATCTGTAGTATGTGCAGTGGCCACACCCCAGTAAAACCATCTCAGCAGACAGACTAAACCACGTTGAAGGTAACTGACAGACCTCAAACCTCTTGGTGAGTTAGGAGAATGTCCACCCCAAGCACATGAAGACTTTTTCTGGCAGAATGGGCAGATGAGAACAATTCATTCCAACAGCCATAAAGGCAGCCAGAGCAGATGCTATGGAGTGCTGAGAGCTTGGTCAGGCATCAAAGATGCCAAGGTCATGCACCGCATCCTGGGCCATCACCAATCATCTTGACTTTTGTCCTGTTACTGTATTTCTACGACTCAGGAAGAGAGGGTGAAGCTGATGACTATGCATCTCTACCTCACTTAAATCCAATTTCACCCACAAGCCAAGACACAACCTGTATCTTGGTCCTCTTTAAAAACGAAGGACAAACAACAACAATATATAGGGCAAGTGAAAGATTTTTAAGGATGGGGGAGGTCTGATGAGATTTGTTGTTTGTCCTTCATTTTTGAAGAAGACCAGTGACATAATGGGTGATTGTATGCAGCAATGAGAGAGCCAGTTAAATAGAGAGTGAAGGAAGATGAGTGGATGGGCTCAAGAGCACAAATAGAGAAGTTGGCCTTGGAAGGGAGAACCACCTCCTTATTAGAGACTGGGGCACTGGGGATACAAATTTTTCAATAGGCAGTGCTTACTGTCAGAGACCTTAAAGTCTAGTAAAGTTGGGGAGGCTCAGATACATACACAAATAAGGACAAGAATGGGACAAGGGCAAATACAAGATCTAGTGAGTAGGAAAATCAAATTGAGTACTCATTTGGGGTCAGGCTTCAAGGAAGTGACACTGACCTTTTCCTTAAAGGAGAAAGAATACGATAATGTTTTAACATAGTAATAATAATATAATATTCTAATAAGAATAGGTGGGCCTCCAAACTCAACACTCAGCTAAAACTGATTTCTCCAGGGAAGTGCATCCCAGATATGGGAGTAAAAGGAAAGAATGGAGGCTGATATGGAGGACTTTTAGGGTATAGCTTAGGAAAACAGAACTTACCATAGATGGATAACTTTGCTTTTTTTCTCACTAAGGTAGGAATTGAGGTCTTCTGCTGAAAGAGGAGGAAAGGGAGTAGCATATGGAAATTTGAACAGAGATGAATCACTTCAAGGAATCTTGAGAATCAGTCGTAGAATAAAAAGAATGTCATGCATCTTTGAGGATCCAGTTGAGAATAGATAAGTGGAGTCCAATCAGCAGTCAGTTTGAGTGCCTTCCTCTTTTGGCTGTTTGAGGAGAATTAGAAGATGAGGAGAATAAGGGTAACATGGCTTTGGCAAGATCATGAAGGGCAAAAGAGTCAAGGGTACATGTTAGTATGCTGTTGAAATGGTCAACTCTAGGGCCAGGGCAAGGGTGAAACAAGAAAGAATAAAGAGACTGAGGTTATGCTGAAGATGAAAGATAGTTTTAGGAATAATGCAAGAGACTACAATGATCAAAGATTCAGGACCACAAACAGCACAATTATGGGTAATGAGTGAATTTTAAGGTACAACCATCCCTATGGGTAGCTAGGGTATAATGATGACCTAGGTAATGTGACTTAAGGTTGATAGTTTGGGAGGCCAGGGTGTTTTAGAGGACCTCAGTGTGTAAACTCAAATCCCCAGATATTCAGGCAGGGTTTGGGATGGAAGGAAAGACTGAGCCAAGTACTGTACCTGAAAAAGGAGAGTGACCATGATACCAAAAGATCTTATGCCCATTTTATAGATGAAACAAATGCTGAAAAATGTTAACTTGCCCTGGGGTTGCAAAGGTAGTCTATGTCTGAGACAGGATTTAAGTTCCAGTCTTCCCGACATTGTATCTACTATGCCAGCTAACTACCATTTAGAAGAATATGTTGGGCCTAAAAACGGAGTGTTTACTGAGTAGTAACTACAGATGGAGGATTTAGAAGCAGTGCTGGGGAACAAGGAATGTATTTTTTCTTCTGTCCTAGTCTATTAGGAGAAATGAGAGAAGGAGCAAACAGCACTCAAGAAGTAGTGATTTTATGTCTTCTGGAGACATCCATGTTTCTATGGGCACATGAAGATACAGTATTAAAGGGGTGTAGGAGGCTGCTTGCCCTAGGTAGCAAAATTTCTAGTTCCTTGATCTACTTAGGTGGCTATTAATGTCTGAGCTGTTTTACTGAAAAGGGGGGAAACCAAGGAATAGTCTCCATCTGGGCTGGCTGGCTTATGTCAGGACTCCCATGTTCCCATATCAAAAACACCCTTTCCCCTCTTTTGATAGTACTCTCCTCTTCCCCATCCCAATAGTATGGTGTCAGAGTGTGCTCATAGGAATTTGAAATTCTTAGGCTAAGGAAATGGGGAAGGAAGTACCTACCCTCTGCCATGCCTAGCAAGTACCTCAAAAGTCCCTAATTGGTCTCCCTGCCTCCAGTCTCTGGCCTCTTCATTCCATCTTCTGGAGTTGCCAAACTGATATTCCTAAAGCATAGGTCACTCCTCTGCTCCACATGCTCCCAAACTGTCACTAAGTTAAAATATAAACTTTTGTTTGATATTTAAAGCCCTTCACAAGCTGCCTCCAGCCTACTTTCCCAGGCTTATCACTCCCTTCAGACACCTTATTATTCTTCAGCCAAACTGGCTTTTGTGCCTTTGCTCAAGCAGTCCCTGCTCCACCTCACCCCCATGCCTGGTATACACTTCCCCACCCCCTCACCTTTACTTTTTAGAATCCCTTAGTTTAAGGTTAAAATTCAAGGACCTCTTCACTAGACCAATCTTGTTCACTTCCCAGTTGCCATTACCGCTCCTGACTTGCCATATCCCCTCCTCAATTACTTTTCATTTTACTTATCTGTGTTACTGTAGTTTCTCCAAAAAAATATTCTCCTGGAGTGTTTTTTCTTTTTGTCTTTGAACAAACTATTTAGCCCAGTGCCTGGAACACAGTAGACACTTCATGCTAGCTGAATGAATAATGAATAGGGTTCTTCCCCCCCCCCCCCCCCTTGTGCCTGGCGCTCATCTCAGGCTCTACACCGGGTCTGTCTGTGTTACTTTCTCCCCCGACCATCTCAGGTTTATAGCTTAGCTGTCCCTGCTTTGGGACCATCTCAGGCCCTTGTAATAGGGGTACTTATGTTTGGCGTGACACCTGTCCCCGCCTCAATCCTTGTCCAGTGGGCTCCCCAGCTGCTGCCCAAGCTTACCAACTCCGTCTGCTTCAGCCTTTGCCTTCCCGTAGACCGAGGCACACTTACCACAACTCCATGGCAACCATCATCATCATAGCCTCCCAACCTCTGTACGCCCTGCCCCAGGGCATGCCGGGACCTACAGCACTCCCCACCCCTTGCCGTGGCCGACGGGAAAAAAAGTTTTATTTAGCTGCAAGGAATGCTGGGACTCGTAGTTTAAGGTTTCCAAGGTCAGAAATCCAGACTTCAACACGGTTCGGCCTTCTAAAGCTCCTCAGTTGCTACAGTCATCGCTCCTAAATCCTTCGCCCCGACCTTTACCTTTACCATACCCTCTCCATTCTCCGCTCTGGCCTGGGCCCCAGCCCAATCCCTGAGGGAGCCGCGAGGAATACTGGGATTTGTAGTTCAAGCCTCCCCCGGAATGAGTAGAGACTCTGTGCTCCACCCCTCTCTGGTTCCAGGCTCCCTTCTCTAAAGCAACTTCCCCCCCTTTCCCCGCCCCGCCAGGGGCTACAAGAATGCGCATGTGCTCCATGATGTCGCCTTGGTTTGACCAATGAGGACTCTACGGGGGGGGCGGCGCTGCAGTTCAAACTGTGAGTCTGGGCGGCGCCGGCGGCGGCCGCGGTAGCAGTAGCTACAGCGGGATGGCGGTGGGGTAGTGGCGACCTCAGTGAGTCTTGAAAGTGGGACTTCAGCCGCCCCCGGACGCTCAAGCCCCTAGACGGGACGCGCGCGTGCGCGGCCAGGTAAGACGGGAGGGGAGTCAAGGATGCACCCTAGTGTCGGAGTGAGGAAATAGAAGGGAGGTGTCGCGGAAGGGGGCGGGGGGAGGACGATGTGAGGGGTCTCCAGAAGGGCGGCGAACAGGGAGAGGGGAGGGGGCGGCGAGGGAGAAAGGGGAGAGCTCCAGGGACAGCTTTGCGGTGTTGGGCTTGGGAGGGATAGTGGACGCCGCTTCTAGATGGGGGAGGGGAGCTTTGAGGGAAGGAGGGTCTGAGAAGTGGTGGGACCTTTGTGGTAAGTGCCTGCTGTGTGCCCTGCGATGGTGTGGGCGATAGAGAAGGTGAGAAAAGGGACACTGGGCCCCAGAGAAGCTGACATTCTACAGGGAGCCACTGCAAGTACACCCAAAGTACATAGGGAGTTTCCTTTTCAAAGCAAACATAGGGTCATTTTCTGGGGAAGGGGATCTCACTTTTAAAGGCTAAGAATTCTTCCAGATGAAGGGAGGAGGGGGAGCATTCCAGGCCCGGAGGATCTACATCAAATCAACAGGCATTTATTAAGCACCTACTGTGTGCCAGGTATGGACAGCTAAGTGGCGAAGTGGATAGTGCACCGGGCCTGGAGTCAGAAGAATCTTCATGAGTTCAAAGCAGTCCTCTGACATTTACTGGCTGTGTGACCCTGGGCAAGTCACTTCACCCTGTTCGTCTCAGTTTTTTCATCTGTAATACGAGCTGGAGAAGGAAATGGCAAACCACTCCAGTATCTCTGCCAAGAAAACCCCAAAATGGGGTGAGGAAGAATCCGACACTACTGAAAAGACAACATGTACCAGCCACAGTGACAGGAGATTTGCTGTGTGTGAAGAACAACGTCAAGGAGACCAGTTTAGCTTGACCACAGAGTATGTGAAGGACAGTAATGTATAATAAGATAGTCAACAAAACATTTATTAGGGGCCTTGGCATTGTGCTACACCCTGGGAAGATAGGTTGGAGTAGGGTTATGAGGATCTTTGAATGATAAACATAGGAGTTTGTATTTGATCTTGGAAGTATTAAGGAGCCATTGAGAAAGGAGGTAGAGAGAAGAATTAGACACTTAAAGAAGATACTCCATTTTCCCTGGCTGTCCTCCATGCCTGGAATGCTTTCCCTCAGCTCTACCTACAGACTTCCCTGGCTTCCTTTAAGTCTCAGCTAAAATCCCATCTTTTATAGGAAGGCTTTCCCAATCCCTCTTAGTTCTACTGCCTTCCCTCTGTTAATTCTTTCCTATTTATCCTGTATATAGCTTGCTTTGTGCATATTTGTTTGCATGTGGTCTCCCCCATTAGATTGTAAGATCCTTGAAGGCAGACTGTCTTTTGCCTCTTTTGGTACCCCCAGGGCTTAGTACACAGTACCTATTGGCACTTAATAAATGTTTATTGATTGATTGATTAATTGAATTAAGAGACTACTAGTTTGATCAAGAGGTGGCAAAGGCTTGAACTAGAGTGATTGTGGTGAGTTAGATTGTAAGCTCCTTGAGGGCAGGGACTGACTTTTGCTTCTTTTTTTGTATCCCAGCCTGTAGCAGTGTCTTGCCCATAGTAGGTGCTTAATAAATATTTGATTGATTGAGTTGAGAAAAGAGGACTTGTGTGAAAGATGTGGAGATAACTGTGTCAGACTCTTCAAGACCCTATTTTGGAGTTTTCTTGGCAGAGATACTGGTGCGTTTTGTAGATGCCTTCTCCAGCTCATTTTATAGATGGGGAACTGAGGCAAATGGGGTTAAGTGACCTGCCCAGGGTCACACAGCTAGTAAGCTTCCGAGGCCAGATTTGAACTTTTGAAGATGAGCCTTCCTGATTCCAAGCCCAGTGCTCTATCCTCTGGCATCCTAGCTGCCTAGAAAAAATAGATTTGGCAACTCATTGGACACATGGGTGAAGGAGATGAGGAGTCAAGGATGATGGCAACTAACTGACTAATGATGGTACCCTTGACAAAAACAGGGAATTTTCAAAGAGGTGTGGGTTTGTGGGAAAAGACAGGTCTATAGACATAGATATATCTATATTTATACACACACGTATTTTTTACATGTGCTGAATTTGAGATGCCAACAGATCTTTCCTTCTTTACTGCCCTCTTGTTCTGGAACCATGATCAAATCAATTCTGCTGTTCTTTTTGGATGGAATGTTGTTAATCTAGCTGGGACTGCTTTTGCTTTTGTATTTACACTAGCACTTAGTTCAGTTCTTAGCACCTACTTTGGTGCCAGGCACTTGTCCTTAATTTATGGGAGAAAAAAATATGATGCCTCTTTCTGATATTTAAAGATAACTCCTAGACTTCTCATCCTGTTTCTCAGCGTCACTCTTAAATTGTGGTTCCCAGGAATAAACAAAATATTTCAAATGTGACCCAGTTAGGATTGAGTTGGTTAGATTATCACCTTCCTTGCTTTGAATGCTCTCCTAAGAATGCATATCTTATGTATTTTGTCTATGTGGCTTTCTCTCTACTTCACTGGCCGCCATGCTATTTCTTCCCCCAGACTTGTGGGTTCTGTGTTCAATTTTGTAAGGATGGTTGAAATGTGATTGCAAGCACTTCATCTTGTGAGTGGGCAGCAGCTGCAGCTGCACCTTTACTATGCACCTGGTGGTACAACAGATGAAGTGAGGGCCTAGAAAGCACAGGAATACCTGAGTTCAAATTTGGCCTCAGATGCTTCCTATCTGTATGACCCTGGGCAAGTCACAGTTTCTTCGGTTTTAATATAGGGATAATAATAACACCTACCTTGCAGGGTTTTTGTGAGGGTTACATGAGATATTATTTTTAGAAGTGCTTAGCACAGTGTCTGGCACATAGTAGGTGCTACTATATAAATGCTTATTTTTTTCCCTTCTCTCTTAGTAGGGACTGTTGAAGTCTCTCCTTGTTGTCCTCTATGCCAGTGTTCAGGAGAGGGGGTGATGGAGCATTGACCCTGGCCTCCCTATTTGTGAGTTTCCTACTGTTTAGAGTAGGAGAGGGAAGAAGAGAGCATCCTGAGTCATAGATTTTCCTTAGGATTTAAAACACTGCCATTAAAGGACTATGTGCTTTCCCATCATCCCATAGGTACTGTGTCATGACCATTGACGCAGTGGCCTCTTTGTCCATAGCCATAGTGAAAGCCAAAGCCCCTCTTCTTCAAACAGTCATCATATATGTCGTGAGTGTATAAACAAACTCATCCTTGGGTTAGGTGCTGTGGAGTTTGAGAGAGCCTCCCAGGGTGCTCATCTGGATTACAAATTATGTTTTGTTAAAAATGGCTTGATTATTTTATAGTCATAATTTAACTAATATAACTGCAGACACATATAAATAAGGTGGATAGATTAGAGATGGCTAGGTCTCCTACTTGGGCAGTGACTGCCTTCTCTGTGTGGGGGGTGTGGCTTGTCAGTCCAGTAGTGGCAGGTTGCTCCTAGTTCACTAGGAGGCTTGGGTTGTGTCTTTTTGCTTCTTCATCAGGAGGATGACAACAGTGCTTTAATATAAGAGGTTGAGTTGATTGACAGTGAGTAGGGTGAATTAATAAATACTTGAGCTCATTTTGAATGTTAGTGGCTAAGCAAGGCAACTGGGGATTATTCATACTAAGCTTTAGTCTAATGAATCTGCTTAATCTTTGCTGGTGTAAGAGGAGGCAAATGAAGTCTCTTGACCTAACTCCTGGCACTTTTGTATGGTTTAGCACCTGAACTTTCTGGAAACAGAATGTCTTAATTTTCCACTGCACCTTGGTCCTGCTACTTCAGTTGTGTGTGTGTGTCTGTGTTAAGTATTAAAAGCAGGTGGCTGTAGCAAGCAGTACTTGAGTTGATACTAGTTGTTGCTGGTAAGTGGGCAGGAGAGGTCCAAAACAAGCATTTTTCACTGTAGAGAAGGAGGGAAGTGGTGAGATCTTCTTGAGGAGGAAGGGGTAGGAAATCACTATCATATAATAAAGGTGGATGAAATGAACAAAGAAACACACTTTAAACATAAAGATTCACATAGAGTTAAACTGAGAGGCCGAAGCAAAGTCTTATGTTTCAACTGAATTCAAAAAAGGAAGGGGCAATCATGGGGGGTGGGGTAGGAGTGGCGCTGAAACAGGCATGCCATGAACCTCATTCTCTTCTGAACAGTATAAAGGAAGACTGGACACAATTATACACACTCACACAAATAAAGATCTCATCTAGAAACAGATTAAACTCAAAAGGGAATTAGGAGGGGACAGGGATAAGCAAGGGGAAAAGAAGGGCTTGAGAAGGAAAGTAGGATAAATAAGGGAACAGTCATAAAACAAACTCAGATGTTGGAGAGAGTAATATGAAGTGGGGGTTAAAAGGAAG